ACCAGAACTCGCTGCTTACAAACCCACACTGGAGCCTCAAGGTCCAATCGCAGGCATTTCTAGAAACAAACATACACGCGTTACAAATCCCTACATGAACAAGAAGTATTTTTGCTCTTATTTTGAGACTTTTGCATATTTTATTATACAGATTGTCAGAAAATCAGCTAAGGTGATATTTATCAGGATTTGTTGCATGTTGGACTCGAACTTGCATATGAACACCAATGCCCTGTTTATCCTGGTATCAAGATGCGTTTTGGATCACAAGTAGATGTGGGAGACATGTTCCCGTTTACACCTGGTGTTTTAATCGGTCTCTTTTGTTCACTTTCGAACACTTCTATTTTTCGAAAGGGAGGGTCTTTGGGCGCGTATATGTATTTCAATCTGATGGATGAAATAAGCTCACACAATTGCAATTGACTCGCATGTGCGAGTGACTTTAGTGCTTGAAAACAAAGTACACTAGACAGTAGGCATCTGCCGAATGCATCTTTCCGGTCTCAGGTCAGGTCAGTATAGGTGCTCTTTTGTTGCTGTTTGAACACATTCGACCACATTACACTATAAAAGCAATCTGGTCAAATGTGTGGTCTAACTGCGGTGGAAAGTAGACAAAATGTTTTAAACTCGTTTTAAAACCGAGTTTAAAACTAAATTACGTACTTACTCCTGAATTTAGCGTTGTCCACTTGTAATTTGATCAACCAAAATGCATCTTAATATACCTGGTAAATAGGACCGAAGACTCGAAAGACTAGCAGGTCTGTTCAATTATTCGGTAACGCTTCATTTTACAGTACTTGCAGTGTACTTACCTAGAAAGCACTGGCTAATATAAGGTAAGTACATGGGTTAGGGGTACCTAGTTATTACCCAGTAATTGTAATTACTATAATAAGTACATAGTGGGTTATAGGACTGTAAAAGGAAGCGTTACCAATTATGAATGTGCAATTTGCCATCAAATGTCCTTATAAGCCACAAAATTCACTACTACAAATAGTTTGTATTAAAAAAATATTCTCTCCAAAAGCACCAGGCTTTAGACTTCACTTAAGATTGTTTTAGAGATCAAGGACTGTGCTATTTGATCACAAATATTTATCTATCATCCATCAATACGGATGTACTCATGATTACTCATGACATCTTTTTACTTAAAAAAATTGTTCGTAGGTTTCTAGAATGTGAAAAGCAGAAGACAAAAAATAAAGACTTTTATGACCGTAATTATATTAATAATAATTTTTTTATATTTATATAGCTCTTTTCTCTGCACTCAAAGCGCTTAATAATATGGAAGAAATGGAAAGATAATATGGTAAATCTCCACCACCAATGTGCAGCATCCACCTGGCATATTGCGCCAGAATGGCCACAACACACCAGCTTATTGGTTGAGAGGATACAGTGATGAAGCCAATCAGTATGTGGGGATGATTATGAGACCTTGATTGGCCAATGGGCAGGCCAGGATGCCGGGGTTACACCCCTACTCTTTTTCAAAGGACATCCTGAGATTTTTAATGACCACAGAGAGTCAGGACCTTGGATATCTGGGGACAGTACAGTTTCCCCATCACTACAACGGGGCGTTAGTACCCACACAGGCCTCACTAACACCAACCTAGTTTTCCCAGGAGGTACTGACCAGGCTCAACCCTACTTAGCTTCACTGGGCAACCATTCTTGAGCTACAGGGTGATAACTGTGCAAGATACAAAACGCACACTTTAAAGAACCCCCTTCGGACATAACTTTTGAAGAAAGCAGGGAGTTACGCTGGATGCTGCAAAGGCTCTCAGAAAGAGGAGCAAGGTATTATGTGTTTGGCAGGATTATGTAAACATGTTCTACATAACATCATTTAAAGTGCAAATTTATTCAGGAAATAAACTGGGGTTGAAAAGTCCACTTTTGGACTGCACTGTACATGTACATGCAATCGCCATCTTGCAGCAAACACGACTGTAGATGCTCGCACAGAAACACGCGTGCATGTAGACGACATGCTGTAAGCCTCTGTCACACACCCCTCACTCCCACGCAGAGTCAACAACTCAGTCTGTACCAATCACTGCCACTCTCTACTTCTGTGCTGCAGTGCAGCCATTTCAAGGAAAAGAAGGATATGCCTGCATATGCATATGTGTGTGAGATCAGAGTACTCACCGTTTGCTGCAAATCAGGGATTCCGATGCGGATGACAGCTGCGCCTCCGTGGAGATCCTCCATAGGGTCGGAGGTAGATTGACTCCCAGGAGAGGCCCAGTTGCTGTCATCTCCGTGGTTGCCGTTGGTAGGGGCGTGTTGCTGCCGCGGCCGGTCGAGAGCCTCATGTTTGCCGTCGGCAGGTGGACTGATAGGCATGCTCCGGGAGAGTGTGTGTGTGTGTGAGTGTGTGTGTGCGTTCTGCTCAACACGCCGGCCTCACAACCCTACAACACAACATACACCTGCATTTTCAGTCAAACTCATTCTAATGCACTGGTTTATGTTGACTGATATTTGATGTATCTGGATACTAGTAGGAAGAATGTACGCAGAGCTGTTTTATAATACGCACACCCAGGCATCTGTGGCTAATAATGTCAAAGTGTGACAGGTAATGACGTCTGCATGCGTGTAAGCATGGAGATGACATTTTACCACAAATCAAGATGAAATGATGGGATGAGAGAGTTTGAAAGAGAGAGTGAGAAGAAAGAGAACGAGATAGGGACTCCATTGGTTGTGAGTGGTTGCCATGGACACTGTGAAGCAGAACCACTTGGGAATAATGGAAATTGAGGGAACCCTGCATCCCAAGTTACCATGGCAACTCAGCACTTTGCTTGTTCTGGTGCGCTACCACTTCCTCTTTAGAGACAGCTGTGCAAAATCTCACACACTCACCGCCGTCTCTCCTTCTACAGCATCACAAGCAACAAGCCAACTCTTGACACCTATTTCAATTACTTAACCCTCTGAGGCATGATGATGTCCACTTCAAAATGTCATTTTAAACCATCCAGGGTGCGTGTTGCATCCAAACCATCATAGGCGATTACTTTTGACCTTCTTCCATAATTCTATATGTCTGTCCTGATTATGTTGTGTATTTTATAGGGCTGGATATCGACACACATTATGATTTAATTCGATTCGATATATTTGGATATGTATCCGGTACAGTACATGCCAAATTTTCTAAATAATGCATTAAACTACATAGGGAGTCAGTTACTACATTACATGTAAAATTATCTGATTTGTGTACAAACATTTACTTACACACAAGAAAGTTTTTATAATAATACTAACTTTATAATTACATAATTATGTTTCTATAAAAATATAAACATTTAAATGGCTTCTGTCATAAAAAACTTGACAGATTTATTTAAATATAAATTCATTAAATACTGTAAAAATATTATTAATATGTGAAATGGTGCATATATTTAGCAAAAACTCCTCTTTAGAGTTTTTCTAATGAGTTTATTGTCTTTGAATGGGTTTTCTGAGGTAAATTTCCCACGGTTGAAACGTCAATTGAGCAATTACATGAGACATGACATGGATTTTGGCAAGTTGCACTGTATGTTTCAACATACCTTCTGATGTTCATTCATGTTTATTTTGTGCAATAACTAGCAAAGCGGACGAGATGATCGGTTCACATGCGTTTTGCTTGACTCTAAAGGCGGTACAGCGATCTGTCACGCCACATGAAAGAGCGCCAAATATGATATCCAAATATTTGAATATGAAATCAGAGAGTTTTGTTTCAGATTATCTCAAAAGTAACAAATCACAAAGCTTATTGATATTTATTGGATGGGAGGCACTATTGTTCCGTTAAATTTAAGTGGATTCTTGGGATTTTCAACCCAGACAGCAAAATAGTGTTGGCCCAGATCCGGGCCACATCTGGTACATGTGGATTCAACACATCCCGGATGTGGGCCGGATCTGGGCCTACACTATATTGCGGTCTGGAAATATATTTTTTTTTTCCCAGCCCTAGAAGTTTATATTGCCTAGCCTATGACAACATTCCCATCAATGTTTGGATCCAAGAACATTTTGGGAGCAGGTATATGTATATTAAATATATATACTTAAAAGGAACATTCCTTGAATGTTATGAATTGGCTCCCAAAGATATAACCAAAGGGAAACCATACACTAATACACTAACTTTAGCAGTAAGTTCTGTGTTTGCTGGGTTAATTCCAGATGTCTGAAATTGAAAGATGTCAGAACTCTCTCAGAACACCATGAAAACATTAGGAATGATAATATATTATTGTTTTGAAGTAAAAAGATGCATTTTGAATGCATCACATCAGAGGGTTAAATACTTCTCTTAGAGAAATATGCCGTATCACACACTCATTCTTTTACCATACTATTATCACAGCCGGCCACATGTAGCCGTCCACCTACTCACTCATTCCAATGCAATCACACACAAGCTAAAACATTTCAGACACTCCTGACTATTGTCCACAGAGACAGAAGGGAAGTCCTCTATTATGTAACAGACATTGTCACAAATAACATGAAATGGAAAATCCCTGTAAAGAGTAAGTATAATTTGCAACAGCATTGTTATACTATTGGACAAGCAGAATCTTAGATCTGAGATGGCATGTCATCATTTAACTCATTTAAAGTACTGACTTATCAAGAGGTCTACAATCACCAAGAACCACGCAATCAACATGAAATAAGACAGAGATTCTTTTAGGCAATAGTAGAAACCAGATGTGCATTTTTAAAATAAATTGTGAACATGTATAAACATTCCCAAGTGAGTTCTCAAGTGGTTTCTAAGAAGTTGCTAACTTGTTATTACTCACAGGCTCAAGAAGTACCCACCCATAAGGCAAGATATTCTGGCAAGTTCTCTCCTTTAGTGTAAACATTTTATTATCTGGCAGGCAAAATTATATATCATATTAACAGACAAGTCTCATGCCAAAGATTAGTATTTGGATTAAGGGGTTTGTTCAAATCCCTATCTGTAAGTATGCTAATACCCATACTTGCTTTAGCCACTAACACCACTAACAAGCTCGAAATATTGAATAACAATGAAACAAGGAGGAGTTCAACTTTGACCTGCACTTCCCATGTGAGGCTTCCCGTACGATCAACCTTTTCTGAGCTTTCCGTCTTTATTCCAATGCTTTTCTGCCGGTATTCCACAATGCCTTACTTTTTGTTTGTTATATAGCAGGGCCGAACGTCCCGGCACTCCCTCGGAGGTCTGAGATTTCAGGACACTTTAAGCCCAACCCTGATGCTGAACATTCCCGAGCAGGAAAGAGGAAATTACAGCAGGAAGGTCTCCTCCAGACCATCTCAACCAACCAAAAGCATCGTTTGTGGACCTCCACCAATAAGCGGTTCCAGTGTCTCAACTAATCACCATCGCCCGTCTCATCTATAAACATCACAGGTGAGGCTACGCTTAAATGCATCATTCCTGTTGTAATCAACCTCTCTCTTACTCCTAATGCCACTCAATACAGCCCGTTCAAGTACCTCTGGAAATTTGAAGTGGGTAAAATGTAGCAACAAGGCATTATATGTGCTTTGATTGGATAAATAAGAGATTTTATTTATGCATGGTGTTGGATAATGGATTTATCAAAGCGGTCTCACCAAAAATGATGCCAGACTGAGCCATGGAGAAATATAAAAACCTTCATAATCCCGTCTTTTTTAAATACAGGACCACTGAAACTCCCACATATTCTCACTAACACACGAAGCACCGCTATCATTTCTTTAAAGCAACATGGCTACTGTGTCCAAAAACTTCCACTGGACCTGTTTGTATCCTAGGCCTTTCTGGCTTTGTAATTTACTTCCCGTGATCTCAGCCCAACTTCCTGGCCTTCTTCCTGGCTGGATTGGGCCGAGGCTTCTCGGGATGTTTTTGCAGGAAGGATAGGAAAGGCTGTACGCCTCTGATAACTCCGCTCTTTCCTCAGGCGATACAAAAATTCACCTCACACACATGAATGTGGAACAGAAATAAAGACTACCGACACCCACACTCCTTCCCACAAATCTCTCACACACACACGCTGTTACAGAACAGTAACGTTTCTATTTCCACCGCACACTAGGACTAGGCCTCTGTAACACAATCACAAAACATTTATGATATAGCACTCTTGTGTATAGGTCTTTAACGCTGAATATGTCATTATTTGAAATCACATATGAAGGTGTTGTGATAGATGACAGCTGCAAAAAGTCCTGATAGATTTCATTTTCTTTTGATTTCATCAGATCAAACAGAAATCACACGAGTGTGCTCCTTCCCTGTTACATAAGAAACACCGTCACGCCTGGATCTGTGGGTAAGGACTTGACTGAAGTTATAAGGCTGCAGATTTCTTAAAATGATCCTCACAGTGAAACACACTAAATGCACCAATTTGGTGGTTTTGGGTAGAGTGAAATAATATAACGTATATGAACTTGAGTGAGCATTTCAGAATGTATTAGTATTTGGCTTGTCCTCCTTTAGCTTTAAGAACAGCAGCACTCAAGCTGCTTTTGTGTCAGGCATGATGTTCTTCAGCTTGATTTGAGATGATCCAAACAGCATCTAATGAAAGAGCATGTGACCATCTGAGAGTCACATGATCAGTCACAAATTTTACTTATTTGACAGTGCATAAATCAATGCAACCAGTGCAAAAGTATAGTATAGTTTTATTTAATGTCTATCTTTATAGCAAAAAGTGAATTACAAAAATACAAAGTTACATAAATGCAACAACCAAGCAAACAGAATACAGCAGTTAATATTGTACAAGATTTTTTAACATTAACATATGAAGAAAATTCTAAAAGCTTTTCTGGTAAAATCTTACTAATCAAGTCTTTAAGGTTACTTCATAATAAAAAGGTTTTCTACTTGCATTAAAAGTGGTGGAGTCCATTATATGTTACATAAAAAATATGTCTCTATATCATAAAAACTGTCTAAAAAAAAGAATTATGCAAGATGCCGAAAAACAGATTTCACGCCAACTACTTATTTCCTAAATATCTCACACACTTAGATTTGTGATCTTACTGAGAGGTTAGAGCAATGAATGCAAATTTAAGTGATGTTTCTAAGTTTTAATGCTTGATTTAACCGTATGCAAGTCGTTGAATTCAGGCTTGTACTCTCCCCTACTATAAACCTTCATAAATTCCCCTAAATGCAAAACTTCTGCATAGAGCAACTACACACTACACACAAGCATTCATTGTTGCACACACAAACACGCACAAATCCCCTCTCTCTCTCTCTCACTCCTCTTCCCCACATGGTCTCCTCCCTCTTTTGGGGATCCAGGGACAGTTTGATCATCCAAAGAGTGCCGTGAGCAATAATGATGTGTGTGTGTGTGTGTGTGTGCGCGTGGGCGTCTCACCTCATCGCCGTCTCTGTTCAGAGCCTCTGTGCATCTCCATATCTCAGTGTGAGAATTCACATGCTAAGAGCTGTCACTGCATCCCAGTACCACTGCACCTCTCCAAGTCCTTGCTCATCACTATGGCAACCAGAAAAATGGTTCACCAGGAAACTTTGCCTGCTTTTAAAGGGCCAAAGCATAAATCTGGTGCGAGCATCCTCCCGCATCTCCTGACGGGTGTGCAAAACACTCAAGGCGCGTTTCGCGCACGTGCACCGAGCGCCACACAGATGTTTAAAGAGAGGGGAGATTGAGAAGGGGTGAATAGGAGAGAGTAATTTGAGGAGAAGAAATAGACAGTGTGATGGCTTAATGTGTGGGCGTTAGGGCTGAATAGATTGGCCTCAGTCACGACAGAAATTAGGATGTAAGAGAGTGACAGGTAAAGAAGGTAAGAGGGCTGGGGGCGACGTCTGTGTATTCTGCGAAATTCAACTCAACGCAAATCAGTTTCCAATCAGCGAGATTAGGCTTTGCCTGAAGAAGACCTACATAGAGTGAGCGCAACACTCATTCACACATCCTCACGCACACACACAGCCACATTTTGCCTGTTAGGAAAAAGTGTTCAGTAATCCCTGTAGTGATGCCCAATGAAAATATCCGCATCGAGCCGCTGAACTGAGGTGCGCTGACAAAATATGACACACAGAGAGCCTGAAAAGACACAAATTAATCTTATCTTTCAACAAACATTCAAGCAACACCTAGCACGCACACAAATTCACCCAAGGATATGCTGGAAATCATAAAACTTACCTAATAAAACCAGGGCACACATTCCACACCATCTCGACTTCCTCTGCGAGGGTCCGTCTCTGGTCTGTGAAAGTGTATAGAAGTGTGCTAATGTGTGTATTTGGAACGTATGTGTGTGAGAAAGAGAAGAGAGGGAGAAAAGAGGAGAGATAGAGGGAAAGGGAAAGAGAGAAATAGAGGGAGAGAGAGAGAGGGAAAGAGAGAGAGTGCGGAGGCAGAGAGACTGTTACTGTATGACAGGAATGCTCAGCTCAGCCCACACAGTGCAAGCATGATACACTGACTGTGTGTGTGTGTGTGTGTGCGCATGAGAGAGAGAGAGTATAGAGAGAGGTTCAGTCTCCCACTTCTTTGCGTGGGCAAGGCCTGAATCTCACTCACGGTCTCTCTCTCTCTCTTATCACTCTCTCTCTCTCAACAGCTATTACAGGAGAACAGCAGAACTGGATGGTAAAAAATGGGGATTGTGAATGAGAAAGCCTAGTTGGAGGTGGAGAGAGAGGAGAGGAGAGAGAAAGAGCCCTGCCGATGGACTCGTGCCTGATTGGTTCTGTTTTATGACATAAAAAGTTTGTCAGCAAAATCCTGTATCATCGGAAGCCGGGGATGAAAGGTTTCGTGATCGCCATGGCAACACGGCAGATGTAAACATCAGCACAGTTAGGTGGGCGTGCGTCTTTTGTTCCGTGTGTATGGACAAAAAGTCACAACAATACAATCCTTACGAGAGGTCATACGCACGCTTGTATCTACAAATTTGACAGACTGACACTGAATTGGATTATGAAAAAGACACACACACACACACACACACACACGTGAATGTAACAAATATCAGGTCCAATGTCCAGGTCACATTTCACCCCAAAGTAGAAAATAATGATTTGGATAAAATGTTAGTTTTGTCCCCCCATAGATATTAAGCACAATTCTCCCCCTCAAATTGGCATAATCGTAATCTGTCCAGATGGTTTGTCCTCATAATAATTTTGAATTTTGGCATTCCAGAAAGATTATTTAAAAGCTAAAGGCAATTAAAAATAGGTAACTCTAAAAAACGTATATATAGGACAAAAAACAACAACACTTTATATAGATATAAAACATTGGTTAGTGTATTACCTAACAGGAACTAGCCTTTGTTAATGTTAGTTTATAAAAAACAGCTGTTCATTGTTTGTTTATGTTAGTTCACAAAGTATTAACTAATGATTTTAATTACTTATCAGTAAATTAAATGTGAAATTAACATTAACTAAGATTATAAATGCTGTAGAAGTATTGTTAAATATAACTAATGAAACCTTATTGTGAAGTGTGTGTGTGTGTGTGTGTGTGTGTGTGTGTATATAGACCATTTCACAAGATGTAAACAACACTGGTCCAGAAGCACTTCCTGTTTCAGTTTGTAACTGTTTTCTTTATTTCACATGTAAAGAAAACATCTTAAAGATGTTTGTTTAACTTTTTGATTCAGTTTTAAATGTTCTGTTGGTTGTATTTTATCCAAGCTTTTATGTAGTGTTAAAAAACTGAAACAGGAAGTGCTTCTGGACCAGTGTTGTTTACATCTTGTGAAATGGTCTATATATATATATATATATATATATATATATATTAGGGCTGTCAAATGATTAATCGCATCCAAAATAAAAGTTTGTGTTTCATAATATATGTGCACTGTGTATAATTTTGTAAATATATATAAATACACACACATGCTTGCATATTTAAGAAAAAAAATATTATTTATATAAAAAATATTTATATTATAAATATTTATATTTATTTATATATAAATTATATATAAATCTATATACATGAAAATATTTCTTTAATATATACAAGCATGTGTGTGTATTTAAATATATAAAATAATTATACACAGTGCACCCACATATATGATGTAAACATTATATATTATGTAAATATATATCATATTTATGTTAATATTTGACATTTTTATTGTGACTATTTACATGATGAAAACATTTTCACCCTAACTTATTTGTATATTTTCTACATTAGGCTACAGTAATGAGATTCTTTTCATTAAATTGCATTATGCTAATTTGAACTAGGAAGGAAATGTGCATTATGTCACAGCAATGCGGAAAAAAAATAATGGTCTTAAAAAAGGCTTTATTTTTGTTATTCATGCAAAATATATTTTCTTGCTCATTTATTTTGATTGTATGATTGAAATATCATCCAGACAGGAGGCTTTTAGAGCAGAGTACAGATTGGTCTTAGAGCCTCACACAAGCTCTCGTCATTTCCAAACTGAGGCTCCGCTTAATCACTAAAACTAATAAAGCTTAATTGATTTATTCTGAGTTTGTGAGAGAAATGCTTACAGCGGTACAGGAGAATGAGACACTGGGGAAGTGGCACATATTGCACATGGCTACTATAACTAATATTATGAAAAGCATTATAAGTTAGGAGTCTCAGTGCAATTTCATAAGTGTCCCTGAGAGTACAGCTGCTCGTGCAGCGTGTCCCCAGCATGAAGCTGCACGAGGAGGCCCTCTCATCAGAGCTCTGTCTCCCCAGCACAGAGCTGCACGAGGAGGCCCTCAGAACTCTTCCGTGTGTGCTTTGTGCTGCGCTGTGCTGTGTTTGGGAGCCACCTCCTGGATGAGATTGATAAATTCACTCTTCTCCAGACAGGCTCTGCACTCCTCCCCCCACGAGGCCAAGACTCTCTTCAGATCCAACACTCGCATTTTAGACAAAGCGTCCCTGCTCCAGTCAAGAACTGGACGGTCTGTTTCAGAAAAACAAGAAATGTCCATTTTAAAACCTTAAAACCATTTTAAATCCAAAAATCTTTACTCACACCCTCATGTCGTTTCAAACCCGTAAGACTTTCGTTTATCTTTGTATCACAAATGAGGATCTTTTTAGTGAAATCAGAGACCTTTCTGTGCCTCCGTTGACAGCTATGCACTTGTCACTTTAAAAAGTTAAAAGGAGATTGTAAAACTAATCCATATGAATTGAGTGGTTTAGTCCAATTTTTCTGAAGAGACTCAATCGCTTTATATGATGAACCGGTTTAATTTAGGCTTTTATTCACAATTGATCAGTGTACATTAACAGAAGCTCAACTGAACCTGCATGACGCACGACAACAAACTTTACTGGTTCTTGCTGAAGCTCAAACATGCTGAGTACACCCTACCATATCTGAGCTCGCAGATCTGGCCATCCCTTCGCTGAAGTTTTTGGCAGATTTTGTAGACAGGAACATGTGCACTGAGGGGGCGGCTCACCTCACCTGTCACTTTGGCTGCAGCATCACTGGAGGCTCCTAAGTAATAGCACTGAGGTGAACAGGGAAAGGATTACCTCATGCATTCAATATATTTCAAACCCTGCCTAAACATATTCATATAGACCAGCAACCAAAGAAGCATAAAAACCAAACTGTGCTTGTTTTTATATTCTTACAAGCCGATTCTCTTTCCCAGTAGTCTCAGTGCATGCTCTGATCAGACCCTCCTCCACCAGCTCTGGCGACAACTCTGTGTGTCTAATCACCAGTGAGTTATAAAGCCGCCCCAAAAACTCCTCACACACTGCAAAACAGATACACACATAAATATTAAACAGATTCATACTAGAGGTATAAATTCATTTGATATTAGTTATGTAATAACAGTTATAATTCTGCAGAACAAAAGCAATGTTTTCTAGTTATAAGGGGGTTGCATTATAATTTGAAAATCATAGAAGTTAAAATAGTTTTTCCATTTCCAATACGATCAATAAGTTATGACAGCATGTTTTTACATTGCTAACTCATCAAAATTAGTTTTTGCTGTTGTTGTACAAGATTCAAATTATTTTTAAGTCAGTTTAATGTAATTTAGTGTAATTAAGTTAAAATTACTTAAATATCCAAGTTGATTGAACCTTTTTTTAATAGAAGGCAATGCATAGTGTTACAAGCCTAATAGGGGTTGTCAGTCAGTATGCAATCCAAACCAGGACTCTCCTCTTAAATATTGACTTCCTGCAGTAAATATCTTATATTCCCCATGTCAAAACACTCATGCACTGGTGAAAAATAACCCAGGTGGCTATTTTTAAACTCAGGGGTTCATGCGCATTGAAAGCCAAGCCAACCAACCTCACCTTCGCATTCTTCTGCAACAGTAACTGAGAATAAAACAACACATAAAAGCAAAAGTAACGGGGTTGCAAAGGAGCTGGTTAAAGACATGACTATGTGCGCTTAAAACGCGCCAATGCGCACTTCTAAGGGAACTTCAATAACCAGCACACAACGCCCACCGGCGCCGCTCTCAGCTGTTTCTAAATCAGGCGCTGCTCTCTTGACGGTCCTGTTGACGTCAGATCAGAGGCGCTATGATTGGCTAACATCGGCGCCCGTCATTTGGCTGCGCCCGAAAGTCCATCCCTCCTCATTTACATATGGTTGTCAGTTTCCGGTAGGATTCTTCGGAAGCATGGCTGCTATCGGGGTGCACTTCGGATACACATGTGCCTGTGTTGCGGTATTCAAGGTGAATTTGTTATGAGCATACATCATTTTAATTAGTTGAATAAACGCAAATATGCCGGCAATGAAATAAAATATCTAATAGTCATTGTTAATGGTGCTGCTAATGGATGATGGTGTGACATGCAAACCATACCAGATTTAAAAAAAAATAAAATACAATGTGTGTAATTGTTTTCATATAGGATGGACGAGCAGATGTTGTGGCCAATGATGCAGGGGACAGAGTTACTCCAGCTGTGGTCGCATACAGAGACACCGAACAGGTAATTTACCAGTATTTCGGGAATCAAATCATTATAGCGTTACAGCTCTCATCAGCACCAAACACAGACAGACTTTTAAAACATGTCAGATTGAATTAACAGTGCAATAGAAACTTAAACCCATAACTGCAAAACATATCTTTATTGTAGTGCATAGTTTGACCGGCTGCATTTTATTTGTATTGTGTGTAATACATAGTGTGTTTTAACTTCTCTAAACCCTGCCTGACAAGTTTTTATTGTATTTGTAAAATCCATTTCAATATTTTAAATTTTGTTTCAGAAAAATGAAGGCGATTGTCTTGACTCAATTTGGTTGTTTGTTTGTTTAATTCAAATGTAAATTAATGAAGCAAGGATGCCAGGCATGAGATGCTCTGATGTTTTTTTTTCTCATTCATTTGTTTTTCTAGATAGTGGGAATCGCGGCTAAACAGGGCCGAATACGAAATGCCACCAATACGGTTGTCAAAGTTAAGCAGATCCTTGGCAGACGGTATTTATTTTCATATTTACACAAACATGCAATAATGCTGTAGATAATTCAGTGCATACGAATATTTTACCATCAAATTAGCAATATCTTATGCAATAAGTTATGATAATATAAATTCATTGGACTTGTGTAATTGACAGCTTTGATGACCCAGATGCTCAGGCACACAAAGAAGAAAGTAAATGCATTGTAAGTACATGCTGCTCTAAAAGGGATAGTTCACCCTAAAAGGAAAATGAAGTCATCATTTACTAACCCTGGTGTTGTTCTAATACCTTATATCCGTCTTTCTTTTTTAAACCACAAAAGGAGAATTAAAAAAAAAAAAACATGTCCATATAATGCCAGTTAAATTTAATATCAACCAGCATCAAGCTTTTTAAAAAAAGAGACTGAAGCATCACAGGATAGTCTCAATTGTTTATTACAATTGTTCTGGGAGTGTATGATAGGGTTTAGTGAAAAACAAACTGAACTTTAATGTATTATTTAATGAAAATCCTGACTTGGCGGTTGGTCTTCTATGCACGATTGAGCGTTTGTGAGACTATTAGCACTGCAGTATGCTCTGGCTTGCCCAGAAAAGCTGGATTTTTATCTTTTTTTAAAAGCTTGATACTGGTCTCTATTCACTGCCATTAAATGAACAAGCATGAGTTTGACATTTAAAAAAAAATCTCCTTTTGTGGTCTGAAAAGAAAGACAGACATAAGGCATTAGAACAACACAAGTTTGATGTAAATGATGGCTTAATTTTCATTTAAGATCTATTTACTGACAGATGGGGAATAACACAACAGTAGCCATAAAAACTGCACCATTTTCTTATTTAAGAGGTGTGTATTTTCTCACTCATTCCCAGGTTGTCAACAAGAGTGACCTGCCCAGATATGAAATCGACACGGGAGAGACAACAAAGTATGTGTCGCCTGAAGATGTAGCTAAATTGATCTTCCATAAAATGAAAGGTATTGTCTGAATGCTTCATTTTCTTTCATTGTGAGTATGTTTAATGTGAACCACTGATAATCGTTTCATGTTCCCTGCAGAGACGGCTCAGTCAGCCTTGGGTTCGGATGTGAAAGATGCTGTCATAACGGTGCCTTTTGAGTTTGGAGAGATGCAGAAGAATGCACTAAGGTAATGCTAATGAATTCAGATGATGTAACAAGGTTATCTAACTCCAGAAGCTGTGTCTGGGGAGAGGTTTTATAACAATCAGTGCTGTGTTGTAGGCAAGCTGCAGAAAGTGCCGGGTTCGACGTGTTGAGGCTGATACACGAACCCTCTGCTGCTCTTCTAGCTTATGGCATCGGACAGGACTCATCATTGGGAAAAAGGTACAGGGTTTGTGCGTCGTCCGTGTCGAGCCGTTTCTTTGAGCTCTTCAGAAGCCTCATTCTCCTTTTTCTTTTCAAACAGTCATGTCCTGGTGTACAAACTGGGAGGCACGTCGCTAAGCGTCACCGTCCTGGAGGTGAACAGTGGGATGTACCGTGTCCTCACGACACAGACCGATCACAAGACGGGAGGAGAGAGCTTCACACATGAGCTCGCACAGCACCTCGCCGGCGAGTTCAAAAAGTCAGTGCTTCACATTTGTTATGTTGTGATTTGCTCTTATGAAGGAAGTGGTTTTGTTTCGAAGACACCGTACTGGGTACGGTTGCCAAGCAACTTCATAACTTCTTATTTTGGCTATTTTACACTTAGTCATATTCATATTGTATTATTTTCTGAGTTTTATTTATTTCTTTTATTTAATTTTTACTCCAGCAGCGTTTTTAAGTACTGGTGCCAAACTTCTCATTTTTTTATTTTTTTATTTATTTATTTTTTGCAATGAAACACCTTTTAATTGTAAAGTTTAATTAAAAAGTTGTAATAGTTTATTATCAGAAAATAGATATGTTAACTATTTAATATTAAAGTAATTATTACAGAAATATTTAATATTAAAATAGAAATGTTTATGATATTACATATTTATTTCATATTTACTGTTTAAAACTTTGGGTTGGTTGGTAAGATATTTAAAAATGTTTTTGAAAATTATTTGATCAGAAATACAGTGAAAACAGTAATATTATAAAATATTATAAAAATTTAAATGATTTTCTATTGTAATATATTTTAAAATTGAATTTATCCCTGTGATCAAAGCTGGATTTTCAGCATCATTACACTAGTGTCACATGATCCTTCAGAAATCATTCTAATATTCTGATTTGCTGCTAAAGAAACATGTATTTATTATTTATTATGTAGTGATGCTTAATATTTTTGTGGAAACCATGTGACATTTTTTCAGTATTCTTTGATGAAAAGAAAGTTCGGAAGAACATCATTAATTTGAAATGGGAATCTTTTGTAACAATATAATTGTCTTTACTGTCACTTTTTTGCATCCTTGCTGAATAAAAAAAACAATCTTACTGACCTCAAAATGCAATGATATTGTATAATATTTTTGAACCTATTTGATGTTTTGATGTTATTTTATTTGAGTACATGCATGTCAATCTTATTTTGTTTGTCATATGTGTCTCCAGGACTTTTAAACAGGATGTGACGGGAAACCCGCGGGCGATGCTCAAGCTCATGAATGGTGCTGATCTGGCCAAGCACACTCTCTCCACCCTGAATAGCGCCAACTGCTTTGTGGACTCGCTTTATGACGGCATGGATTTTGAGTGTAATGTGTCCAGGTGAGCTGAATTTATTTGCAATCAAATCAGTATCACAAAGAAAATGGTACCTGTTGCTTCTATACATGTCATATATGCTTCTGTCCTAGAGCCCGGTTTGAGCTGATATGCTCCAGCCTCTTTACTAAGAGCATTCAGCCAATTAAAAGTCTCCTCGAGCAAGTAAACCTGTCCACCTCTGATATCAACAAGGTAAAACAACTTTTTAAAGGGGTCATATTATGCTCTTTTACAAAGTATTGATTTTGTTTTTGTTTTTGGGGATTACTTGAATAGGCTTTTCAGAGAATAACTTTTGTTTCTTTGAAGGGACTTTGTGCTTTGTAACTTTGCAGACCTTTTTCATTCTCAAACAGCAACATTACACTAGCCTGGTTAAAACCAAACCATTACACACTAATGAAAGATGAACATGTTAAAAAAAAAAACCATGAGGTCTTCTTTAATACAGTTGTGTGGCCAGTAGAGGGAACTGGAGATTTTATTCCATATTTCATGCATGATTTGTAGTATGTGTAGTACTTTACGCAAGCGTATTGCATTCACTTGAGGACAAAAAAAAATCTACTCTGTTTTTGTGAATTAACAAGTTAATTATCTCAGAATTACGAGATCATTTTTCATAAAAAAAAAACAAAAACGTTTTTGCTCTTTTTCTGAATTAACGAGTTAATTATTTAAAATTATGATAGATTTTTCTTGAAAAACATTTTTACACTCTGTTTTTATGACTTAATGTGTTACCCATAATTTTGAGATAAGTCATTAATTCAGAAAAACACTGCAAAAACTTTTTTCTATGAAAAATTCTCTCGTAATTCTGAGATAATTAACTTGTTAATTCAGAAAAACAGACTAGATTTTTTTTCCTCAAGTGAATGCAATACGCTTCTGGAGTACTTAGCCTTTTAGAGGCAATTAAAACAAAATTCCCTGTTCAACTAGTAGATTATTTTTGTGTTTTACATCTAATTATAGCGAGAAAGGAGTCCACAAACTCGAATTCAGTTTTAAACCAGTTCGTATTCTCTCTAAGGTGGTTTTGTGCGGAGGATCAGCTCGTATCCCGAAGTTGCAACAGATGATCAGGGATTTGTTCCCAGACGTGGAGCTACTGAACTCCATTCCCCCGGACGAGGTGATTCCGGTCGGTGCTGCCATGCAGGCGGGCATCCTGGTCGGAAAAGACAGCCTGGCACTCGGAGAAGATTCCATCACTGTGGATTGCTGTGCCAGCGACATCACGGTTAAGGTGGGGAACTTCAAATGATTAATAGTGCTTCGTTTTAGGGTGTTTTAGCATAAACTAGCTTATTGATCAGTAGATTGTGTCTTGGTCTTTCAGGAAGTGGATGACTCCGGAGCGGAGGTTTTCACAGTTTTGTTTCCATCTGGCACACCTCTCCCTGCCCGCTGTCAGCACACGCTGCAGGGTCCTGGCAGTCTGTCGTCAGTGAGTCTGGAGCTTTTCCAGGCACAGCAGCCAATCGCACAGGTTGGCTCCCATTTTAACAGACATTTCAGTACAAGCCTAAAACTAACGTAAATGAGATGTATGGTTTGTATTGTGCCGTAAAACTGTTGGGCTGATTTCACTTTAAATTTTCTAGATTGTACTTAGAGACTTGGAGCCTAAAGAGGAGCTGCATGACTTTGTGACTGTGCTGACAATGAAGAGGTAATGTCATAAATTAATACTTTTAATAATACTGGATGAATTGAGAATCACTCTTTTTATTTGTTTAAAATCGAGATTATTATTCTCGCACGATTCTGAAGAGACAACTAAACAAAATAACATGCAATTTATTAGAGGTTCTGACAAAATATGAATTTCTGCAGTCTATTTAAAAATATTTCAGTTATTTAAAAAAAATCAATCTGAATGAATGATTCAATGACTCACTTGTAAAGACTTGTTTCATTACTGGATGGATCAGATGAATCAATCTCTTGAATGATTCAATGACACTCTCTTGTTGCCACCTACTGGTGTAATGATGTAAATAATGAATCTTTATTTTATATTTCCTCTATTTTGATCGCTTCCGTAGACATCTGTGTTTATATCCGAACTGCAAACTTTTATCCCAACGCTCCTGTGATAATTTAAATTATCGTAACAGAAATATATACAGAAATATGATTGTGTAGTTGAAAAGAGTAAAGACTGAAGATGTTTCATGCATGTACATGACAACTGCTCTCTGTAGATCAGCGCCAACATCAACGCAGATCTGAATGTTCGGTGGTGATTTTATTTATCAAAGGTTTAATAGACACAAGTGAATCGTTGCGATTTAGGAATAAGATAGCGTGGGTGTTTGAACTGAGATTGCGATCTTTTAAAGAGTGATTTTATATTTTCTAGCTTGTGTGTGTACTATAAGTTCATTAATATCACCCAGTCTTACTCGACTATTCAAAGCTCTTTTCCTGATGTGTGTTTATTTTTCAGAGACGGTTCACTGCACGTTACGTGCACAGAGACGGGAAGCGGCAGATCTGAGGCCATAACCATAGAAACAGCTGCTGCTGCAGCATCTTAACCCTCAATCACGCTGTCAACATAATTCCATACATTAACCTTAACACCTGCATCTCATGCTGTTTGAGGTTTTCCATTGCTCTAGATTCCTCTAGAGATTACCCAAACAAGAACTTGAACATGTTTGCTTCAGTTCAAGGAATGGCTCACCCATAAAGGAAAATGATTTGCTTGCTCTCATGTTTCCAAAAGGATGGACCAGGAAGTGTTGGTTTGGAATATGAGGGTAAGTAAATAATGACTTTTTCATGTATGGGTGAGCTATCCTTTTAAATGAATATCCAGTTTTATAGCTTTTGCATTTTTTTTTTTTTACCTGCAGTCATTTTGTTCATGCCTGTTGTCTGACCAGCAGGTTTACTGTAGTTGTTCTTACCATGTGCCTTTATGTACCTACAACACACCATTTGATTAGTTATGAGTTCATGTGACAGGCATGATTGGTGGATTTAGGGAAACCTGTGGAGTTTGCTGATACCATTTAAAGCATGCACAACCTCAGAACTGAAGAGTTTCACTTTGTAGACTGAGAAGCAGGTGGTGTTGTACAGGGAAGAGATGTCTTTGTGTGGCTCACTGATGCTAATCTGGTGCAGTCACAGCGAGCAGGTGCAAAATTATCGTTTAAAAAGCTGTCATCTGTAACTAGTATGCAATAAAGGTCACTGAACACAAACCCGGAGTTTATTTTATTTTCAGTACAGATGCTTGTTAGATTCATGTCAAGTTGGAATATTTGCAGTTACATGATTTAAGATTTTAAAAAGATCCTAATTTTATGTTCCAAGCATTTCATTTGAGCACGTAAAAGTAACTAAAATGGCCTTGACAGATTTCTGTTAAATATAACCAGTGTGCTTTTATTTTGACACTCATTTAGCACTTGCCAAGTTCTTCATTTTATGAAATCTTTTCCAACACAATGTTAACATTGTTATTTTAGTATTTATATAGTATTATTTTTATTTTGTGATTTTTAATTTGAACTTTTCATATTTTTGATGTGTGCTTTTGTAGCATTTCATTTCTACTTACCTCAAATGTATTTTTTTTTTTTTATTTCATTTTGGTTTCATTCATTTTGGTACTTAAAAAAATAGAAATAATGCCTTGGCAATTAATTGAAATCAAGTGTAAGTTTTATTTTTTTACCTTCATGTTTTTTTTCTAATGATTTCTTAACTTGAACAACAGAAAGCATTGTACGCAATTGCTTGAGGAATTTATTTAAAGTATTCAGTATTTATAAAGGTACAAAACTGCATGAGGTAAGCTGTCGTACAACAAACCAAAAAATAATACTCGAGTAAACGAACATGAAATTAATACATTTGTCTTATGACCACTTCCTCCCCTGCTGCCAACTTCCTGTACAGGTCCTTCAGGTCTTCTGGCTGTGGGACTTTTGAACCTGGTGTTGGTGGAAGCTCAAAATCTGATGACACCTGAGAGTCTGATTTCAGCTCCACGGCTTCTTCCGTCTTCTGTTCAGTGTCAATCCCATCTCGGTTACACTGCTCACAAATAACGGCTTTACTTTCATCCACTTGGACAAGAACGGTGTCCATTTGACTGAGGCTCTCCATTCCTGCATCTGATATATGAGTGGACTGAGAGGAAGTCATGTGAACGGAGCTCTTGTCATCCTCGTCTTCATCCTGAAACAGCTCAGGCGATTGGGACGTTGTGTTTTCGGTGGCTGTTTTGTGGCTGTTCTGACTGTTATCCAACTCGCTCTCGTCCGTCAACACCGGTTCTGCCGTGAAGAACTTTTCCCAACAAGGCTGGGCAGCTTTGGATTGGGACGGGTCCAAACGAGTCAGTTTTGAGCATGGCATTTCTGTGCAAGATGGAGGAGCAAGACCAGATGGGTGAGGTACAGGAGATTGCTCAGGATCATCTTCGTCGTCATCGTCATCATTTGATTCGGTGCAGTCCATGTAATTGGCTGAGTGTGCGGAGGGACAGGTCTGTATGAGGGAGTACATTTGGTCTGTATCGTGAGAATCTTTATTAGGATTACATGGTTGTGCACTAATGGTCAGATCAACCACTCTCGTCTTCCGCCACCTCGGAGCCGTAGAAACCTCATCAAACAAGTCGTCGTTACTCTCTGAACCTTGGCAGAAAGAAAATTATAAGTAATAGTAACCGTTTTAATGATGAATAATTGAAATGGCTTTAATAATGAAAACTGTTTCTACCTTCTGATGTGCATCTCTTTCTGGTTCTTTTAAGGGCTCCAAGCGGTTTGTAGACCATCTCGTCTCTTTCAGTAAGTTTTCTACACAATGGCTTCAACCTGAATTTAAAAATATTATTTTATAGTATCTAATGACAACATTAAAAGAAAAAAGGATCAGTCCTTACAGATCTGTGACGTCTTCCAGTGTCTTGCCCAATGGAATGACATTAGGGTAGATGTTAACAGGACCAATGTAGGATAGAAAGTCCTTAACCTAGTCAAAGGAAATAGAAACCGGCTTATGATATCCTAACACTGTGTATGCTGTCATGTATGAAAAATATTTTAAGTGGGATTTCTCTTACTTCCAAGTAAGAGGAATGAAAAGAAAAGCATGCTCTGTAGGAACTGCTCCCCATCCTAAAAAGAGAGACAGTGGGTTAATAAATAAAAAACTGTCCATAACATGAAAATAATTTTATATTGGTGCATCATGACTCACTTGGCAATGACGGAGGTCTTTCTGGTCCGTTCTCCAAACCATATTGTTGAGGGTTTGATGCTGATAATGTTCAGAGGAATGCCACCTGGAGACGTGGTGCCGCACGGTAACCTGTTCGCCCTGAAGAACTCCTCATCCTGTGGAAAAAGCCACAGATTTGATCTCCGTTTGTAACTACTCGTTCGGGACGTATATGACAATGTCATGACGCAAAGGATGAGGGTACCCTGGGGTGCCTACAAGCGTGGATCTGCGTTGCCCGGTTGGTGGTCACGTGACACAGAATTTCAGGCATTTTTTTGAACATTTCCAAGCTGTTCACATGTATCTGTAGTAGATAAACTGTTAATGTTTTCAAAACTAGGCAGAACGAATTAGTTGTAAAGAAATAGAAAAAAACCTGTGAGCTGAACTCTTGTCCCAAGTTGGTAAAGAGGTACTCGTAACCATACGCTGCCTTACAGTTTAACCAAACCACATGGTACGGACTTTGACAGATCCAGTCCTGGATCAGCTGTCTTATCCCTGTTAAACAAGCCTCCTAAAACAGTGGGAAAACAGTTATGGAAAGATACAACCGCCTCAAGTCTGTCTGATATAATCCAGGTATGTGTAAATGCTTACCCTGCTAGGGATCTGATAGTACTTAGGATCAAAGAATGTGGTATCGATATACACACTCTTAATGTCTTTTACCCTGCAACACAAACATTTGAACTGTATTATTACCTACAAAATGTGTTGTATTTAAATATCTGATCTCTGAATACCTGTTTCCAGAGTGCAAGTACTCCATTCGTGCAGCATCTCCGACAGCGAGTCTGAAGTCCCCTGTGTAGAGCACTGTACCCTGAGCACCCTCAAACAGAAACCTGTGATGAGAGTTTCAAGCCATGATTACATCACAATGAACTCTATTTACGTTCTTGATGCATGTTCCGGTTGCTTACATGACCGATCCTGGACAGTGTCCCGCTGTGAGCAGAGTTACAACAACATCCTCTGACTGAAGAGAGAAAAATAAATACAAATTCAGATCAACTCAAAAACACTAAACAAAAGAATAAACTAGGAGCTAAACGCCCACCTCTCCAGTGGTTTCATCTGTCAGAGATATGTGCGTTGGACTGTCCAGCTCCAGGGGCACCTAGTTTGTAAAGGAGATGTTCTCGTATCAGGCTTAGCAAAACGATTTATGGAAAATTGCATGGCTGAAATGAATACTTACAATGTGATCTTCCCAGAATGCATATTTTGGGTTACTAAGCAGGAGCTCCTTTGTGACAAATGAGCAGTACAGCTTCACTGTTAAACTATCGAAGACAATGAGTTAATGTCTTGTCAAAAATTTACAATGGTGATTACTAATTACATTTACTCAAATACTTAACTTTAAACTATGACATGAACAAATGTTTGATAAGAAAAGGACATGACTTGGAATAAAACAACCATAACTCACCTTAACTTCAGTTTTCTCTTCAGGAAAGGTCCTTTCAACCCTTTCATGTGATCTGTTAAACATAAACATCAACAGATATGTCAGAACATTGATCATAATCATAGCAAAACAATTTAGTCATTCATGCTGCCTGGAAAGTACATAAGCATGTTCTAATGCGATGTCCATATATATATAAATGTGCACCTTTATGGCAGTGAGAGAGGAAATAAGCTCTGGCGTGCAAATTCTCCCTGTCAAATCGATCCAGGGAGATGGTGGGATATTCCTTCATGCGTCCAGCAAACGAGCTCATGCTGACTGCACTGAGTTTGAGCTGATGAAGAACTCAAAATCCCCCTGAGACCTCAGGACATCACTGCCCAAACTCTTTCTGGGCTCTAGTCGCAGACAGCAGCACCCCTGTTCCCTGCATCTGTCTTTCCCCTTTCCTCCTCCTGGCATCGCTTTGGTATGAAACCACGTGAGTCGGAAACAAACATCGGTAACCTGATACTACTGTAAATTGTACAGCGACATCTAATGGACTAAAATTCAACCCTTAAAAAATTGCAAAAAGCCACGGCAATCGGTATACTCTAAAACAATACACTGAGACAAAACGTCAACAAAGTTTTTTCAAATAATTGTGCATTTTTCGTCAGTTTCTTCAATGCCATTTCCGGGCATAGGTTTGATTGGCCACCCAAACTTTGGAATTCCGGGATTTTTTTCTATTGGCCATTTTACACTCATGCTAAGTTGCTAGGAAACAATGATGCGCAACATCGCTCACCAAACAAACACGTTGACAATTCAGCTTTTTATCTCACACGTCAATGTAAGTTTGTATTTTAAACATTATTAACAATATATATCAACTAGTTATCAATTAATATCGCAGTTCAGTGCATCTTCTGAGTAAATTAGACTAGATAATGTCAATGTAACGTTTAACTCCAGCATTAATTATTCTGCGTATTGTCGTTGAACACGTGACACGGTGTTTTGACTTGTTGATTAACTTATGTAAAGTAGAATTTGTTAGACTGAATTTATTCAAAGAGAGAATAGTGAGTGATGTCTTTGTTATCATACACAGAAAATACACAGAAATAATGTCCTGCCCAGTTTTACTGGATAACAAGGCCAAGCCGAAGTCCATGAGCCGCGCGAAGCAGTGGACAGGTGAGGTGGAGAACCTGTACCGCTTTCAGCAGGCGGGGTACAGAGACGAGCTCGAGTACCGACAGATTCAACAAGTCGAGGTAACACTCACATCTTTCTGCTATTTTATTACATTATTACTTATTATAATGTTTACCCAATCCTTATAGTATACACGCTTGCGAGAAATGACATTCAGTATACATTATATTATCAAAATACTTTGATGGTTTTTATATATATATATATATATATATATACATACATATTAGTGCTGTCGAATCAATTCATTTAATCTACCATAAAAGTTTGTAAATATATAGTTACACAGTTTTATGTTAGATGCAATGAATCGCGACGAATCAATTTGACAGTATGTATCTGACAAAATATTGTATAAAATATTTGTACTTTCATTGATAACATACCAATAAAATTACTATATATATATATATATATATATATATATATATTAAAGTTTTAGTGGTATGTTTTATCAATTAATGTTTTCATGCTTAGTCTGTTCATTTCTTAGTTATGTTCTTAATTGTAACATACTGGCATCACAGCTCTGATTTCCTGCTGAATATTGTTGTGTTGTCCTTTCAGATTGACCGTTGGCCAGACAGTGGGTTTGTGAAGAAGCTTCAGCGTCGAGATAATACATACTATTACTACAACAGAAAGCGGGAGTGTGAAGACCGAGAGGTCCATAAAGTGAAGGTGTATGCGTACTGACCCGACCCCATCAGCGCTTATGCCATTTTCATTGTTTTTATTTTTTCATTTTTAAATCATGTCTTTAGAAAACTCATGGTCAGAGATGTCTTGCTGTTTTCTTAATGTAAGTGTCTGAATGAAAAAAAAAAGATCTAAATAAACATTTTACATGTAAACAAACAATAGCCAGAGTTTCACCTCTTTACTAAATGCTTTAAAGCCAGAACAAAACCAATACCAGGGCCTAGGTCAGCATGTACAAATATAAATGTATATAATTTAAAGGGATAGTTCACCCAAAATCTGTATTCATTTCTGTCTTTGGCAGAACACAAAATAATAGAGTATATTTTGTAGAATTAACTTCTATACAACTGTTCGGTTACCCATATTCTTCAAAATATCTTCTTTTGTGTTCAGCAGAAGAAATAAATTCATGCAGGTTTAGAACAACTGGAGGGTGAGTAAATGATGTAGAACTATCCCTTTAAGTGTTTTGCTCTTAGTTATGCAGCACACCATTGGGGGAAAAAACAGCCATAACAAACTATATGACAGAAGCATAAGAGATAAACCAATGCATGTATATTGTTACAATCCTTATACAGAGAGATTAAGACACCTCCTCCCCCCTTATTATAGGACAATAAAACTAAGTAGATGATGAATATTAATAAAAAAAATTAGTTTTTTTTTTGTTCAAGGAAGTAAAAAATATGTTTTATTGAATTTTAATAAGAACAAAACATAATTGACATACATGAGTACATATAACCATATATGTCAATGGTGAAAGAAAAAAAGTAAGAAAAGGAAAGGCATTTTTCAGAAAACAAATGTACCTTGTACAGCTGTATAGTTTTCCTTTCTTTTAGGTTTTTATTTTTGGATTTATAATTTTGGTTTCTAAATATATTTTAACATCAAATTTAAATTGTTCAATATTTGGTTATATAGTAATGGGCAATTATAATAATTAAATCAAATATAAACAAAAGTTTTTTATCGCCATCAAATAGCTTATATAGCTATAGCTTTTCTTTTCAAGTAATTATTCCCAAAACATTTGGGTCCTGGCCCTTTAAGACACGTCACTTCCGGTTTCATGCAGCGAGCCGTTCTTACTGCTCTTCTGAAGTCATGCGGATAATACTCTGATCGGAAAGCAACCCTCGTTATCAATAAATGCCTCTTGTTTGTTATATCCAGGTAAGTTATATAAGTTTAATTGTTTGTTATATTCTCATTATGTCTGCCCCGTTCGGACGGTTTGTTTTCATTAACGTTAGCTATTAGCTCTTTGAAGTCAATATTAATCTATAACAGCAATCTGATTGTAACAGTTCTATTTTAGTTAAAATACATGTTCAGTCTAAGAAAGACAGTTTAGAGGATGGATGATATTTTCATGGGTGTGTTAGTGTGTGGATATAAGCAGAAATCAGCGAATGCACCTGCACTGATACACTCAAAGTAATGAAGTCATTTAACGTTACTGGACTGATAACTTACGCTGTTTAGATGAACAGTGATGTACGACATCTGAAGGAGATTCACGATTGTTTTATGGCCAGTATGCAATTTTAAGCTCTAGTCTAGACCAGAAAAATCAATAGTAGTATATTAAAGGAAGTAACATTAGACACTAATAGTGCATTTGTTTTGTTCTGTTACAGAGCTGAAGTAGTCTGGAGATCCTCCTCGTCTTCCATCCTCAGATATCTGTTGACATGAGCATTTACAATTTCTGAGCCATATATCCATCATCATGATGAAGATTTACCTCGGATCACAAAGTAATGTGCTGTAGGTAAAACGATATAAAGTTTCAGAACTGCAGTTCATCCAAATGATCATTATTTGTGCACCATCATGTTGTTCCAAACCTATATGACTTCCAATAATACAGACAAAAACCTTAATGTCATGAACAAATTGTTTAATTTTTTGGTGAACTCTCCCTTTAAGTATGTGTCTTTCCAATGACACCATTACTAATGTCATTGTGACCTAAATAAATTGCCATAATATTGTTTAAAAATCATGTTTATATGTGACAATGTAGTTAAATAAAAACTCCCAGGGCTCTACACAAGCCACAAACCATATAAACTGTGCACTGATGCCAGGATCAAGCGCTCACATGACCGATCACACATTTTTAAGGCTGTGCTTATGGTTACATGATCCAGGCCGGCAGAATCAACCCAAGCCCTTTGGCTGATTATTAGAAAGGCCGGCTTGTTGTGTTACTCTGAAGCACCATTGTAATAAGTCTTCGAACTCATGGGAAAAGGAGCAAAGTGCATGACAGATCATCAAGTGCTGAGGCTCTGGGGTTTGTTTTAGTTCACATCACACTTTGACGTGCCATGAAACGATCAGTAAATGGATGTTTTAACATGTCGTGTGCCTTGTCTGCGCTCTAGGTGACCCAACCATGACTATCCGCTGCTCCTAAACCACTTGCCCTGAGGAGCGAACCCAAGCTAGAGAGCAGCAAGCAGCATGCACTGCCATCCTCCTCTCCAGAGGGGCAGCTGCTGGTAGAAGATAAAGTGTGTGTGCACTGCTCTGGCCATGGATGACTTCCCTACACATGACTTCACTACACGCACCTATGGCACCAGTGGCATGGACAACAGGCCTCTGTTCGGGGAGACGTCGGCCAGGGTAACTCGACTGTTTGCTGGTTTTTGTAGTATAAAGTTAACATGAAATCAAAAACTTTTGTTGCTTTTCCAAATAACATATTTGCCATGATAATAATATCCCATCAAAATATAATATGAGCAAAAAAATTATATGACCAGTCACAGGTGAAGCAAATATTGTTGATCATCTCCAAACAAGGTCAGGATATTAGATGGTGAGCAAACAATCAGTTCTCATAATCAGTGAGTTGGATGCAGGAATAAAGATCTGAGTGACTTTGACAAGGGCCAAGTTGTTATGGCAAGTCGATTGGGTCAGAGAGTATCTCTGAAACAGCAAGGCTTGTGGGTCACTCCCGGTCCGGGCCAACAGAAGGTCGTCACGCAAGATTGTAATGATGGTTATGGACAGAATGTGTCACTGCTGTATATGGGGCTTTGTTACCCAAGACCAATCAGAGTGCTTGTTATGACTCCTGTCCCCCGTCGAAAGTGCCTACAACGGGCACATGAGCGTCAGAACTGGAGCAGTGGAAGAAGGTTGCCTGGGAAGTGATGGCACCAGGATTGCACTGTGGGACAACGACAAGCCAGTGGAGTGAGTTTGATGCTCTGCAGGGAAACCATTTCCATTTATGTGGATGTAAATTTGACTCATGCCACCTAACTAAAGATTGTTGCTGGTGACGATGGTGTTCCCTGGTGGAAGAGGCCTCTTTCAGCAGGATAATGCGCTCACTCAGGAATGGTTTGAGGAACAAGAGGAAGATGTAGCCCAGGCCTCCAAATTCCCCATTTGAGCTTCTGTGGGTTTGATGCACAGCGGCCTACAGGACCTGAAGCCTCTGCTGTTAAAGTCTTGGTGCCAGAAACACAGGACACCTTCAGGGGTGTGTAGAGTCCACACCTTGATGGGTCAGAGCAGGTTTGGCAGCACGCGGAGGACCAACAGTATATTAGACCATAATGTTTTGGCTCAGGCACAATGTGACTTTTAATCACACAATGTAACTTTATTTCATGTTGTAAACTTTATTTCGCAGCTACTTGCCGCGTTTTTCTTTACTCCTATGGCGTTCCGCATAATGGTGCTATGTAGATATTTAAAAAGATAACATTTACTGCAGCACCTTGATTTTCTGTCAGTGGCACTAATATATTTTTGTTGGATCACTTTCAGGATAGAATCATCAATTTAGTGATCGGTGGACTCGCGTCTTTACTCGTTCTGGTAAGTTTTTACAACTAATGAAGATCTCGATATGTCTGTTAATCATGTTGTAATTGATTCGTTTTGCCCATCTCTTTCAGGTGACCATCATAAGTTCAATCATCTTCCCGTCCCTGCCTCCCAAGCCATTGAATATTTTCTTTGCCATCTGTATCATGTTAGTCTGCGGGTCAGTGTTGGTTCTGGTAAGTGAGGAAGGACTTGCTATGTAGTCTAAAAAGCGTTAGGGTTCATTCCTTCAATGGTCCCAAAGAGAAATAAATGTTTTTAATGCAATCCCATCCATCTTTCTTTCAGATATTCTGGTATAGACAGGGAGATCTGGAGCCCAAGTTTCGCAACTTGATCTACTACATGTTGTGTTCCATCGTTCTGCTGTGTATCTGTGCCAACTTGTACTTTCATGATGTGGGACGTGATAAAGCGAGCAATGCCTTATAAAACTGCTACTATGGGAATCGTCCCAATCAGCGGAATGTTCATCATTATATGGGTGCTTTGGATCCCCACTTGAGTTCTTGAATCAGGATTATTTCTACAAGCCCCATTTGTGTGGGCAAGGCCAGTCTGCCTTTGGGAGCCATGTTAGTGGACTAAACATAATATAGATGCAAACATGTTAGCGATGAGTAGCACTCTGGGATGTCCGTGCACACGTTTTGCACCCTGAATGCTGTACACAGCTTAACCTATATGCCAATGATGTTTTTTTTTTTTGTTTGTTTGTTTTTTAAATAAGCCATGGCAATGTAATGCATAATGCTTTTATACACCTACAGTACATTCCTAATAAGAAATTCCTTATTTTGTATTTAATCAGAAAAGCCATTTTGAATAAGAGCATTTGATTAAAGACATGCAACAGTCATGCTTGTTTGTTTTTTTCTAAATTACTTAACACTGTTATTTGAAATGGTGAAAACCTTAATTTTGGTTAACAACCATTGTAATTTGGATTGTATGTAATAAATAAATACATATACACAATGTACGTTTGTGGGTGGGTTTTGTTACATTTGTACAACTGCATGTTTTAATTTAAAGCAACTTGCACTGATATATCTTAAATTATGACAGTGTCATTTTGTCTTGAGATGCACAGCAGTAATGTTTTCTTCTAAGGCATGTTTAGAAAAGCTATTTAAATGTCTTAATTAATCTAAGCCCTGTCTGTGAAACCGGGCCATTTAGTAGGCTCAGGAGCTACAGCGTGGAGTTTTAATGACAGAGTCCTAAGTTTAAATCCCACTATTGCTTGTTAAGTTACTGGCATAAAAGCTTAACCACTGGCTCAGAGGATAAAGCATTGTGTTTTAAGAGTCCCAGACACCAGTTCTCAAAATGAAAGCCACGGTGGAGTTACTGGTTAAACACGCATTCTCTGGTGGTGAAGCTGGGATAGAGACGTGGGTCCAAACCACTGCTCAACATGTTAAAAATCAAACAACAGAGACTCTGTCAAAGCTTTAACTGCTTTATTGGGCAATCATACAAAGTGTATATCAAACAAAGTGGTCAAAACACCAGATATCAGTGTGAAAGCCACAATGGTGCAGTGGCTAAATGGACGTTCCCGGCTGATGGGTAGCACTGGAGATGTGGGTTTGATCTCCACCTCAGCATGATTTATTGTAAAATCACAGGGCTCTAAGAGTGAAAAATAAGTTCCAGCACATGGCTTAGCAAGAGATCTGTAAGAGCGCTGCCTCACGGGTTCAGAGGTTGCTGGTTCGATCCCAGCCTGATATGAGTGATGTGTGTGTTAAGGCGCCGACTGGTGGAATCTTCATTCAAATCACACTGAAGGGTTCAATATTATTAGTTTATTTGACTCGATTTGCAAAAATGTGATTCACACAAATCAACACAGAAGGGCGAATCACTTTTAGACTTGATTTGCAAATGTGTAATTCATGCAAATCACCACAGGAGGGCGCAACACTTATGTTTATTTGACCCGAATTGCAATGGTGTGATTCAGACAAATCACCACAGGAGGGCTCAACACTTTTATGTTTATTAGACTTGATTTGCAACGGTGTAATTCACACAAATCACCACAGGAGGGCGCAACACCTTTATGTTTATTTATTTAGCAGAATGACAGAAACCGAAGCGCAGTTTTCATCCGTTCCACTAGGCGGCGTGAGCGGGCATCACTGTCAGAGCGACTCCTTCGGGTCCTTGGCAACATTGACGCTTGTTGATGACTGACGCTTGTTGATGACAGACGCTACAACATGTGCACATGACAGCCACACAACTGGACATATTTCAGCAAATAAAACGACATACAGTCCGATAACATGCGGGAATTGAGTGTCATTTAACTTCTCGGTAAGTAACTTTGCACATAAAGTGAATTTCTTTTGTAAAATGATATCGCGACGCTTAATGTTTTGTATAATTGTATTTTTTCACTAATGAATCGTCCTGCTGAAATGTCATGATAGCAGAGCTTGTCAGTTCATGGTGTCTGTAAACTAATTGTTGTTTAAGTTTGTTATGAAAGCATTCGCGTCTTCTATAAAAAGAGAAAAACTCTTTTTAGAGTATTTTTTTCTAAACACACACTAAGACCTTCAGAAGGGAAAATTAATCGGGTGTTGCTTTACATTTATAATCAGAATAATAAGGGATGCTGTTTTTATTTTTTATTTATTTTCATGCTGTTGTTGTTATTGTAGTCTTACTGTAGGTAATATACTGGATTAATGTTTGTTAATAGTCAGTTGCTCTGATGTTTCTGCTGCTTCATGCTTGTGTAGAGCTCAAGTGATTTTACTTCTAATGAAAACCATCATACATACAGTCCAGAACAGAACAGAACAGGGTTAAAACCGTGTGCAGGAAACCAGCCTTTTAGGATTATTGTAAATTTAAAACTTAAGCTTGTCCCAATTATGGTTCAATCACGGAAGCTACACCAGTTATTTTGTCAAGAGATTTCTTGTTTATTTTTGTGTTACATTGATGTGTCATTGCACACAATACTTCTATGCAAGCTAAACTATAGCTCATCCCTAATCTCTCCTCAGCAAACATACACAAACACACTCTGTTTTCTCAAAATATAATTTAAATAATTTTATACTTTTAATGTATTCAATTTCCTTCTATTGACTAGTCTTTGGACTAATTTTCACATTCTCATTTATAGATGTAGAATATATAATATAGAGTATTTCTAAAACTATCTTTTTAATCTTAAAAAAAAGATTAAAACTTTTTTTTTCATGTCTTTCCTTACAGAAAGAATGTGTTTGGACCATTACATCCAGTCATCAGAAGCAGAGCTGTGGGACGTGTGGACAGACATTGGCTGTAATGATGGACGTCTGCTGATGGACAGGTAATGTAAATGCTTGTTTTACTGTACTAAACATGTAGGTTCCCATCATTTTCTTTTTGAAGGGCCAGTCCTTTGAAACGCAAATGATGGGAACCTAAGTAGGTGGGGAAGGGACGGCGGTCAAATTTTTTTTTATTGCCATTTTCATTTTTTCCAGTCAAAAGTATAACCCCCTCCTGGACATCGTGCGGGAGCTCAGGGGGGGACCCCATGATCCCCCACACCTTCTCACTCGCACCACAGCATTCACTCATATCGCGGAGATCTGGCTGGACTCGAACCAGCAACCTCTGAACCCGTGAGGCAGCGCTCTTACCTGTGAGCCACAGATCTCGTGCTGATGATGTGCTGGAACTTATATTTCAGTGTTATCCTGAGAGTTTCCAATAAAGCAGTTAAAGTGAGATTCGAACCCACGTCTTCATCAGTCTTGTCCTCAGAGAGTGTGTGTTTATCCGCTCGCCCATCATGGATTTCACGTTGACAGCTGGTTTTGGGGCCCCTTGTCTAATGAGAACTATTGAAAGTCAGCAATAGTGGGACTTGAACTCAGGATGCTGTGATTGAAACACAACTCTTTCTCTCCTGAGCCACTGAGTCTGCTGAGATGAAGAGCGTTTTCAACCGGTTTGATCCAGAGTTGTGTGTTAAATGATGAATAACTTTAACAAACATGGATCTGAAACCTGGGATTTGAACCAGGACTGTCTGGTTGGTGAGGTTGACAACTATCCACTGAGCCACAGAGACTGTGAATCAATGATGTTGTTTTAGATTTCAAGTTTAAGGTTCTTAGCGTATGTTAAAGATTATTGTCATTGATTAATAATTCATTGACTACTCAGATCTATTCTCTATAAAATGATTTTATTTTTAAGTTATTCTTTGTATCAACTGTATCAGTGTGCGTGTTGTGTCCTATCGTCTGTCTATATAAATATACATGCAAAAAAAGTCAGATCTAAAATTATTTTCGCCCTGCTGTGGTGATTTGTGTGAATTACACTATTGCAAATCAAGTCTAATAAACATAAGAGTGTCGCCCTCCTGTGGTGATTTGTGTGAATTACACCGCTGCAAATCGAGTCTAAAAAACATAAGTAGTGTGCCCTCCTGTGGTGATTTGTGTGAATTACATATAGAGAGTAAAAGAAAAGTGGTGATTGTGTGAATCACACCGTTGCAAACCGAGTCAGATCGAATCTAAAAAGCATAAGTGTTTCGCCCTCCTGTGGTGATTTGTGTGAATTACACCGCTGCAAATTTCTTCTGTCTTCTCTGTTCTGTCCTTATGTTAAAATACATACATACATAACGTTACACACACACACACACACACACACACACACACACACACACACACACACATATATATATATATACAAAAAACTAGACTTTCTCATTCAAAGGAAATCATTATTTTCTGCACCACAGAGCTTGTCAAACATGTTGCTGCTGTAATTTCACAGGAACTTTAATCCAAAGTCTCAGATGTGATCCGACGAGAGTAAAGTGCAGTTTTCCTCCGCTCCTCAAGGCGGCAGAAGCGGGTTCTCCTTCAGTCTGACGCTTCTGCTGCTTGACAACATGACACTTGATGACAATCACAACAACGCGAGCAGATACTGCAGATAGGAAGATGACAGCTCTTAATGTCACTTTAACAGCACATATTACAGCTCAACCGCAAATAAAACCGACGCAATCAAACGACACATAAATGAGGAACCGAGTGCGGCACAAGACTCACCTGTAAGTAACTTTTACTTTAGCATGAAGTCAAGTTCTCTTGTCAGTCGCTATTGTAGCGTTACCTTTTTAATCTTTGAATGAATCGCCCTCTGATATTCACACTGTAAAGTGTAATAAGAAGGACTCAGTTGATATTGCAGTGTTTTATGGGTGTATGTGAGAGTCAGCAGGAGTTGTGTCTTGTGTGAAGCTCTGATGTTCTCCTGTTGCTTCCTGCTTTTATTCTACTTCCTGTTATGACTGGGATCTGAGAGTGAAAACTGCCTTTAGAATGGTATGCAATTAAAATGTCACAGTATTACTACAAGCATGAAACAATACAAGTAAAAAGCAGTGACTAGACACTTTGCAATTGGTTTTCTTTGCATAGCATTTCTAATATTGTTCTGATGTTTTGTAGGTTTGGCTTTCTGTGAATGGGGAGTTAGTTTTTAGTTCTGTGTGTTCAGTGTTTTTATAATTGTGTGTGAAGACAGTGATTAAGTTGAATCTCTAGTTGTTGTTACATGTATAAGATTCAAATGAATCGTCCTCTGATTTATGTGTAGTGAAGTAGAATAATAAGCAATTGTTTCTAGTCTCTTTTGTTATTAGTTGTCTTACTTTATGTAATAATAATCTAGTGGATTGATGCGTGTTAATAGAATCAGTTGATGTGTGTGTGAGTGTGTGAAGTGTGTGTCTGCTGCTTGTATTGTATCGTAGAGATGCAGTGCCTTTCTTCTAATGAAAACTATCAGGATCAATCCTTGTGCAGGAACATGTCTTTTAGGGTTACTGTTGTGTGAAGGAAGGTTTCATCTTAAAGTTATAACTCCACTTGGGCAGTTCTTTACAGTGTACATGTTTAAGCATCAAGCGTCAGCGCTCGCACCGAAGGCTTTATTTCTATTCAGTGTTTGTGTCCATTTGTAGCCTGTAAAACTGTAATTCAAATCATAGATTATTATTGATACAGCCTTACTGAACTATACTATATTATTATAATAGTAATATATTTTCACACTGTACAACTTTAGGCTTTTAATTTATTCCACTTTCCTTTTATTAACTAGTCTTTAGACTAACTTTCACATTGTCATTTATAGATGTAGAATATTGAGTATTTCTAAAACTAATCTTTTTTTTCTTGTCTTTCCTTACAGAAGGAATGTGTTTGGACCATTACATCCAGTCATCAGAAGCAGAGCTGTGGGACGTGTGGACAGACATTGATTGTAATGATGGACTTCTGCTGATGGACAGGTATGTACATGCTTATGTTTTACTGTACTAAACATGTAGGTTCCCATCATTTTCTTTTTGGAGGGTGACCCCTTTAAAAAGCAAATGATGGGAACCTAAATAGGTGGGGAAGGGACGGCGGGGCAAAATTTTTAGACAGCTAAATTTTTATTGTATAAAAAAGCATAACCCCTGCTGTCCATTGTGGCGGGGCTCGGGGGGGGACCCGAATCATCCCCGCCCCTTCACACATACAGCATTCTCTTGTATCGCGGAGATCTGGCCGGGATCGAACCAGCAACCTCTGAACCCGTGAGGCAGCGCTCTTACCTGTGAGCCACAGATCTCTTGCTGATACATGTGCTGGAACTTATATTTCACTCTTCGAGCCCTGCGATTTTACAATAAATCATGCTGAGGTGGGGATCGAACCCACGTCTCCAGTGCAACCCTTCAGCCGAGATCGTGTGTTGAGCCACTGCACCACTGTGGCTTTCACACTGAGATCTGGTGTTTTGGCCACTTTGTTTGATTTCATCACATCAATTTTTGCGCTCAATTCTCATTTACTAAAGGAAAGCCTTTGTGCTTAACTGTTCACACACTCATATCGCAGAGACCCGGCTGGGATCGAACCAGCAACCTCTGAACCCGTGAGGCAGCGCTCTACCTGTGAGCCACAAATCTCTTGCAGAGACATGTGCTGGAACTTGTATTTCAGTGTTATCCTGAGAGTTTCCAATAAAGCAGTTAAAGTGAGATTTGAACCCAATAGCTTAGCTGGGATTTGAACCTTAACTTCAGCGCACCCTTACCTTCACAGAACATGTATTTAACCACTGCACCACTGTGGTTTTCACTCTGAGAGCTGGTGTTTTGTCCACTTTGTTTGATATAACAACTATTGATAACAATTTTATTTAAATTATGGGGACCAAAAATGCTGAGATGGGATTTGAACCTTAACCTCAGCGCATCCTTACCTTCACAGAACATGTGTTTAACCACTGCACCACTGTGGCTTTCACGCTGAGATTTGGTGTTTTGGCCACTTTGTTTGATAAAACAACTATTGATAACAATTTTATTTAAATTACTGGGACCAAAAATGCTGAGATGGGATTTGAACCTTAACCTCAGCGCATCCTTACCTTCACAGAACATGTGTTTGACCACTGAACCACTGCGGCTTTCGCTTTGAGAGTTGGTGTTTTGGCCACTTTGTTTGATATAACAACTATTGATAACAATTTTATTTAAATTATTGGGACCAAAAATGCTGAGATGGGATTTGAACCTTAACCTCAGCGCATCCTTACCTTCACAGAACATGTGTTTAACCACTGCACCACTGTGGCTTTCACGCTGAGAGTTGGTGTTTTGGCCACTTTGTTTGATAAAACAACTATTGATAACAATTTTATTTAAATTATGGGGACAAATAGCTTAGCTGGGATTTGAACCTTAACCTCAGCGCATCCTTACCTTCACAGAACATGTTTTTAACCACTGCACATCTAAACGCAAGAAGAAGTAGGAACAGAACCGGCAACCACTCGCTTCAGAGCCGGTATTGCTACCACTGAGCCACTAAAGACGACACTGTGTAGATATCTATGCTGCATACGCCCCCATCAGTAGTGCATAGATATATGCAGCATAGATATAGAACAGTGCTATATCTATGCTGCATATATCTATGCATGATATGTATATATCATGTATATATCTATGCTGCATATGTCTATACACTAATGACGCTGGAACCTGGGGGCGCCAAGTCCCCGAATTCTCCGCGAATTCCCCGCGAATTCTCCGGACTTGGCGCCCCCCTCATTAGTGCATAGATATATGCATCATAGATATAGCACTGTTCTATATCTATGCTGCATATATCTATGCACTACTGATCTAAGCACTACTGACCAAAACACCAACTCTCAAAGCGAAAGCCGCAGTGGTTCAGTGGTTAAACACATGTTCTGTGAAGGTAAGGATGCGCTGAGGTTAAGGTTCAAATCCCATCTCAGCATTTTTGGTCCCAATAATTTAAATAAAATTGTTATCAATAGTTGTTTTATCAAACAAAGTGGCCAAAACACCAACTCTCAGCGTGAAAGCCACAGTGGTGCAGTGGTTAAACACATGTTCTGTGAAGGTAAGGATGCGCTGAGGTTAAGGTTCAAATCCCATCTCAGCATTTTTGGTCCCCATAATTTAAATAAAATTGTTATCAATAGTTGTTTTATCAAACAAAGTGGCCAAAACACCAACTCTCAGCGTGAAAGCCGCAGTGGTTCAGTGGTTAAACACATGTTCTGTGAAGGTAAGGATGCGCTGAGGTTAAGGTTCAAATCCCATCTCAGCATTTTTGGTCCCCATAATTTAAATAAAATTGTTATCAATAGTTGTTTTATCAAACAAAGTGGCCAAAACACCAACTCTCAGCGTGAAAGCCACAGTGGTGCAGTGGTTAAATACATGTTCTGTGAAGGTAAGGATGCGCTGAGGTTAAGGTTCAAATCCCATCTCAGCATTTTTGGTCCCAATAATTTAAATAAAATTGTTATCAATAGTTGTTTTATCAAACAAAGTGGCCAAAACACCAACTCTCAGCGTGAAAGCCACAGTGGTGCAGTGGTTAAACACATGTTCTGTGAAGGTAAGGATGCGCTGAGGTTAAGGTTCAAATCCCATCTCAGCATTTTGGTCCCCATAATTTAAATAAAATTGTTATCAATAGTTGTTATATCAAACAAAGTGGACAAAACACCAGCTCTCAGAGTGAAAACCACAGTGGTGCAGTGGTTAAATACATGTTCTGTGAAGGTAAGGGTGCGCTGAAGTTAAGGTTCAAATCCCAGCTAAGCTATTGGGTTCAAATCTCACTTTAACTGCTTTATTGGAAACTCTCAGGATAACACTGAAATACAAGTTCCAGCACATGTCTCAGCAAGAGATTTGTGGCTCACAGGTAAGAGCGCTGCCTCACGGGTTCAGAGGTTGCTGGTTCGATCCCAGCCGGGTCTCTGCGATATGAGTGTGTGAACAGTTAAGTCACACACATTTTAGTAAATGAGAATTGAGCGCAAAATTGATGTGATGAAATCAAACAAAGTGGCCAAAACACCAGATCTCAGTGTGAAAGCCACAGTGGTGCAGTGGCTCAACACACGATCTCGGCTGAAGGGTTGCACTGGAGACGTGGGTTCGATCCCCACCTCAGCATGATTTATTGTAAAATCGCAGGGCTCGAAGAGTGAAATATAAGTTCCAGCACATGTATCAGCAAGAGATCTGTGGCTCACAGGTAAGAGCGCTGCCTCACGGGTTCAGAGGTTGCTGGTTCGATCCCAGCCAGATCTGTATGTGCTGTATGTGTGAAGGGGCGGGGATGATTCGGGTCCCTCCCCCGAGCCCCGCCACAATGGACAGCAGGGGTTATGCTTTTTTATACAATAAAAATTTAGCTGTCTAAAAATTTTGCCCCGCCGTCCCTTCCCCACCTATTTAGGTTCCCATCATTTGCTTTTTAAAGGGGTCACCCTCCAAAAAGAAAATGATGGGAACCTACATGTTTAGTACAGTAAAACATAAGCATGTACATACCTGTCCATCAGCAGAAGTCCATCATTACAATCAATGTCTGTCCACACGTCCCACAGCTCTGCTTCTGATGACTGGATGTAATGGTCCAAACACATTCCTTCTGTAAGGAAAGACAAGAAAAAAAAGATTAGTTTTAGAAATACTCATATTCTACATCTATAAATGACAATGTGAAAGTAGTCTAAAGACTAGTTAATAAAAGGAAATGGAATAAATTAAAAGCCTAAAGTTGTACAGTGTGAAAAATATATTACTATTATAATAATATAGTATAGTTCAGTAAGGGCTGTATCAATAATAATCTATGATTTGAATTACAGTTTTACAGGCTACAAATGGACACAAACACTGAATAGAAATAAAGCCTTTGGTGCGAGCGCTGACGCTTGATGCT